CACACACACACACACACACACACACACACACACACACACACACACAGGTACTGCTCATGATGCACTGGCAAACCAGAAGGTGACGAGGTGCTAAATCTTCCCTGGGCTGTGTCGAGGTCGCAGACGAACTGTAATAAAGTCGCCATCTTCAAAAGCTCTCATAAAATACTTGTCATTTACTTTACCACATTTTTTCACCTGGGCCGATGCTGTCCCGGCAGGCCACACAGCTGTGTCCCCACCGCTGGTGAAACTGAACATGTTGAGTGGACATTCGCTTCACATCGCCACCACAGCTTCACTGGCTTAGCCTTTTCTTCTCATTTATATCTTTTCTAGTCTCTTTCTGTCAAATTTTATTTTTCAAAGATGTTGTCGCTCTTCTCCCAACTTCAGTAAGAGTTTGATTGACAGATGGTTCACTCAATCTTCGGCCAAGTTTATTATTTTTATAGTGCCTGACCTTTTCCAACAAGTTTCCAGTGATGGCTTCTCAGATGGTTTTGTGTAACGTACCATCTGGTGGGTCAGTGGTCAAAAACTCTACTAAGTGAATTTATAGATTACTGACTCCCTTAGTGACTCCATACAGCATCATTCCTCAAAACAATCAATATAGATTAAGGCCATGTCCACATTACTCCGTTTTTACTCCGTTTTTGCCACGTTTACACTGAGCGGCCACACTACGCCGGAGTTTTGGAGCAAACTAAACGGAGGAGTCTAAGAGACCATGCCACTACTCAAAATCCCTTTGAGTAGTGGCATGCTTATTCAGTGCCAGTGCTGCCAGTCTGATCAAAACACGGAAATCAGCGATTTAACAAAAGTCAACTTAATAGGATCGAGACACAGAGGAGACCACCCAAAATCTAAGGAGGATGAGGTTCCCGAGAACTCATAAAAATCTGGAACAACATCACGATGTCACAGTGATACAGTGCAGGCTCCTCTCAAGGGCTTTGAGTAATTTTGTGTGACACTGAGCCCCGTAAGTTATCAGTAATATTGATTCAGTGTTCATGCAAGATGGTCCACCATTAATAAGGAACTGGTAGAGACTGGTGTAGGGAAGAGGCCCGGTAAGAATGTCTGATGTTTGGCTCAGTCATATGTTTGAATAGTGTTTAAGTCATCATGTGCACTTCATAGATATACCAACTTTTACAGTACGGTATAAGCCACCCATTACTATCTATATGCACAGATAGGAGGTCATGATAACTGTGAAAGCTTTGATCTTACCTCAAACCTCCCTTCCATCTTCTCCTCAAACCTCTCCTCTTCTTTTTTACTACCTGTGTCTAGATCTCTGCAGTGCTTCCAGTGGAAAGTAATTTGGCAATAAATCAGCCATGTGAGAACAGATAATGTGAAGGCTTTGGACTCTGACATACTGAGTACACTAATACTTCCACACTTTAAAGTCCTACATTTACTGTACAAGTATCTCTCGATTATAATGTCAAATTTTGTTTTATCCGCTGAAATTTTTCAAGACCATAATCTTCCTGACCAGCGTGTTAACATGGTATTACCATCCTAAGACACCAGATACAGAGATCTAAGCTGCTGGAAGCACAACCCTTATTTACTGGCTTAGCATTGGAAATGGCCCTGCAGCTGCTGTTTATTTATTCTGCTCCTTCTCTTAAATACCAAAAGGTTGTGTTACTTTCAGGGTTTCTAAGAAGAAGCAAACATGTGAATTCCAGATAACCAAAGGTTTACCTTCAGCTTACTGTGCAACATGGAAAAAAGGGAGGATGCACTAATCAAAATATAAACCGGGAAATGTAGGCACGCTGCATGCTAGGTTTTACACCAAGCTCCTTGTCAAAAAGACAGAAAGGGTCTAAAAAGCTCCCTTTATTTTCTTGAGCATCTGCTTCTCCCCTGAGACTCAGAGATAAAGTTAAAGGTCAATCCGCACACATTTGCCAGCCTCGGCCAAGGTGTGGGAGGTCAGACTGTTTGTCTGTGAGCCAGGACCCACTGCCACATTTTTCTACTGTGTTACTAAACCAACAATACAATAAGTAACTAATTCATAGCTGCTGTTTAAGCCTGTATCCGCATTAGACATATGTCTTTAATATAACAGGGTGGGCTAATTTATGACAGTTTAAATATTAAGCCAGCTAACATAACAGGCGAAGACAGACAGAAAACAAAAAGACAATATGCCAACCCCCGGAAAATCTTGACTTTTTGAGATGAAACAAACTGTAAATAAAATCATCAACAGAGACAAAAAAGATTAAGCAAAAAGTGTGAATGAAAAAATCTTTCAGGATTCAGGATAAGCTTGTCTGACATTACACAAGGGCCGATGTGTGTGTGTGTGTGTGTGTGTGGTCTGACTGTTTGTTTGTGTGTGTGTGTCTCCACACAGCTAGTCAGACCATAAGGTCAAACCCGTGGAGAAGGGGGCACGTAGGTGTGGAGCAAAAAGCCAAAAGAACACATTCCCAGTGAAAAAGATACCATAACACAGTGTAGGCACAGAGGACACAAAGCTTTCCTTATCACCCTGTCCAACACATCACGAGAGACTAAACCCACCATTTATTCCCATGGATCAGAGGAAAATAACCCCTATTAATCAATAACTATTCATCAATATTATAACAGTGAGCTAGCATCATTGGAACTCCAACATTAAGGATCTGTGGCATATAAATTTATCTCATTTATTGACAAAACGTCCAGCTTATAATACCACGTTTATATTATCAATATATTTCATTTTGGGGCAACATTTATCTCTTTTTCTATTACAAAATAATGATTGTGTCCAAAGGAACAGGGAAGTGAGTGGGTGAGCACTGTGTGCATGGTGACAAAGAGGCTGTGTTCAAGGCTGTGTTCAAGGCTGGGCAAGGGTGCTCAATATGGTTAGTGTGGGCACAGAGCGGAGGATCAGCTTGTCCCATCAGCTCCCTTGCCCGCCGTGCAGAGGCGTGAGGCCAGATAAAGAGCAGGAAGCGAGGGAGGACAGTCAGTCAGTCAGTCTATCCCTGATAACATGAATGTTTCCATAAACATAGTGCATGCTATGGCACAGTACCAGCGCAGATAGTGAGGGATGAAAGGTAGAATATCGAGGTACCTGCCAAGAATACTGGGTCGCAAGATGTTTAAAGCACGAAAGAGAGGCACTATTAGAATTTACTTTCAAGCAGAGAGACAAACCACTACTAATGATATGGAACTTGCTGGTGGGGACAGCAGGAGAGATGCGTCGGTGGATCAGACTCTGTGTTCAGGATAAAAATCTGGCATCCAGTACCATCACAATTTCCCAAACACTTAAAACAGAACAAAACTAAAAGTCAAACGCGTGACCGTAGATGATTGCAGATTGTGTTGTATTTTTTTCTGAAACCACAATTAAAGCATTTTGGCTGCTTCATGGGACTGAACGATGACGGTGGGCATTTTGTGTTTGGGTCTATCAAAACACGGTACTGTTGACATTAACTAATCTGATTACAAAGCAGCTCTTTGGCATACGTGTACAGATGATAGAGTGAAAAATCCCATTGTGGAGAGGCTCTATGTTACAATGGTTCTAGAGTAAATCAATTCATTATTTAACTGATTGAAAAGTTTTACGTTTCCTAAATAGTAGGATTTGCTCAAATTTATTTAATCGTAAATAGTTTATCTTTGGGGTTTTTAACTGTTGGTCAGACAAAACCATTTGAACACATAACCTTGGGCTCTGGAAAATTGTGAAATGTTTGCTTTTTTTCTGCCGGGAAACTGCTTCAATACAGCAAAGAGTAGCTTAAAGAATGATTGAGACTCAAAGGCTGAACATCACTACACGGGGAATACTTGTTTTGCTGCACAAAAAGGAAACCCTGATAAAGGGATCTCTAATCCTGTTGTTTTCTAGCATATCATTATGGCAAATTATATGCACAGTGAACTAGACATTCACGTTTAAAGACTGTAGAGGTTTGATATTAGATACATGGCTTGATGGTGTTTGGTATAGGACACAAAAATAGAGAAAGAAAAAATGAAAAGAAAACAGCTTTAAGATCTGCCACAAAGTATAAAGGGACAGCTGTAAAATATAAAAAGAGAGGAAAAAATACACCAAACAGATGTTAACAAATATTAACAAAAAAAACAAAAAGCTTTCTACTTACATGAAGACAGGGAAGAGGAAAGCAGGCCAAACGAATGACCAAAAGTAGCTAAAAAGTGTCTATTAATGTGTCATCTCTTTATCCGTGTTCATTTTAAGTTTTTGCTTTGCCCCCCCCCACACACTTATCATGTGCATGATTTACAGGCCTTATTGTTTTATAAATACTGTTGACAAAGGCGGACTGTGAACATACAAACACACTCAATATGTACAAGTACATATTGTATCATTTCACACTTCAGAATAAGAAAACATGGACTCCTGGCGTCATTTTGCACAGCTGGAATCCCCAGAGCACTATAACACCAGTTTTATTTGACAAACATAAAACATCAACAGTCAGTGTCACATGCACAGACTCATCCACAATCCTGCAGCTCCGGTTAACCACTACTGTCAAGAATCAGAGTCTCACTCTCCATGGATCGAAAGCTGGTCTGATTTAAGAAGTGTGTAGCTCAATGGTACTCTAAGACAGAGTGACAGTTTTTTTTTTGTTTTTATAAAATGGCTGGATGTCTCTGGATAACTGATCAAACATGTGTGTCAAAGCGCTACTAACAAAAAGAGAGGCAACACAAGTTAAAAACTACCATAGTTGCATTGTGTAATCAACGTATACATTAAAAACACTAAAGTGAAATGAATAAATATAGTTGATAAGCTGTTTGGGAGTCAAATCCAGGCAGTCTTAAACAGACGTACGGGATCTGTTAATTCCACTTAAATGCTCCAAAATCCTCAGAACACTAAGTGTCTGTATAAGTGTCAGTACTATGACATTTATTTTTCTACCAATGACAGATTGGTACTTAAACACACATAAAGGAGGAGATGATGTCTGACTCAGCCATGTTAAACACCTGCTTAGTAGCAGTTTAACAACAAACACCCACATTATATTCATTCATTACAGCGTCAAGGGTCATGATCATAAAATATTAATGTCAGGTTCGCCACCTGTTTAGTTCCTGGCCTCTCTTCTTCTATACCCAAAGGAAACTTGCCTCATTTTTGGCACCATGAAATTATCTGGCTGGGAATATATGTTCCATTTTTTAACCTCTGACGTGTTAGTAAAAAATGAGGAGAGAAGAAGAAAAAAACAAGAAGAAGAAGCAGGTGTTAGACAAAGGTGGTAGTTAGCACATAATGCAAATACCCCCCCAGGGATGAGATTTAGTCTACCACACACATACTGCACAAAGAGTGATGGTTACTGTCAGCAACAATGTGAGCATTGATCACATATTTAAAAAGCACACTTACAGCAGGTCAGATTTGGGCCCCTGTCAATCATTTTGTGTGGTCTAGTTGCTCCTTTTGGCAACAGGTTTTTCACTGCTCACAATCACTAAATACTTCCACCACTAAACAAATGAGAGAGTTCATTTATTTCATTTCAAAACCGGTGGAATTGTTTCATTTGGGAATATAACAGTCAGATGGTGGATGCTGTTCATTTGTTGGTCTCTCTTGCAGTTCACTTACTGTTGATGGTATGCATTTGGAATAAATTTCAGTGATTTAATGGAGTGCACTGAGAGTTACCATAATCAAGGCATCAGAAATGCATTGTGAATTACTGTCAATATAAATACTGTCAATTAAATATCATCGCATTAAAAAAAGCCTTGATCAACTAATTTTACCACTAGGGATGTCCACAGTAGTATCCCCACCACGGCCATAATAGTAAAACAAGTAAATCATTGTATATCTCACATTAAAACTGAGCTATATTTTGGGAAATCTTGTGTGAGTTTCTGAGTTTGAAAGAGAGAGCATCCAAAAGCATGACTAAAGGTGTGTTGTTTAATTTCATTATTGAAGTATGAGATGTAGTTAGTTAGTTCGTTAGTTACCGTTTTGTCAAGAATGTCAAAGGCCTGGCCACCTCATTAAAAAACCAACGGTATCTCTGTACATGTCCGAACACAAACACATGCACACTTGTATACACAACCCACACACATAGACACAAAGAAAGCCTGGGGGAGTTGGAGAAAGAACAAAAAAAAGCTTTAATCAACTGTTGTTTAACATTGTTAGATGGGGACGGCCCTATCCATAAATCAGGGTTTTATGGTCTCTGCAGTGTTCCTAACCCCCTGGCCTTCTCCCTCTGGTCTCCTCTACCTGCAGCAGTCTCAGGACCCCAAGTGACCTGCTGCCCGGAGGCAACCGCATCCTCTCACTGTTTGGAAGAATAACACCAAAATCCACCGAAAGCCCCGTGACCTGTACTCCATCAAACCCGCCACTCACTGTGAACTATGAAAGAATTGACTTAGCACAGCATGCAATACATGTCTCTGGCAGCGACTGCTGCATACATTTAAAAAAAAGATGTGCTTTTGATTGTTTAAATTAAGGCAAACTAGCTTTACCTTACGGTGATGTTTATGAGCTGGGGCCGTTAGACAACGGACTTATATTGTTAGTATTGGATGACTGAGTGATTCCTATCTCTGGCTTTCCAGCGGCCCGAAGGCAACCAAGCCATTCTAATTCGGCTTTAATGTGGGGTCACTATAATGCTTATCTTTTTAACAGCCCCCTGTAAAGAATAAGACTTCCTTTCTATACTGTTGTATGTCGTTAGATGCGTTTATCCTCGGGGAACAGTGATAAGGGGGAAGTGCACGGTGTGGAATTCAAGGGGGAACTACTGATAGATCTACACAATAAAGAACTAGAACTCTCTTCAACAACAGATTCCTCAACACTTTTGTTTCTACCCCTTACCCACTTAGTTAAAGAGTTTGCTATACCACATTTGGTTCGTTACTCTATGTGTGATGTGCGCCGAAACAATGATGCGAAGCACCCCAAATCAATTCCAGTGAATACTCCAGAGCCACAGTAGCCACAGTTAATAACTGCTGCAATTATTGACACTGAGTGGTGCTGGTGGAGGCTCATTTTTTAGCTTGAACAACATGCGGGATGACATTTGCGTAGCAGCTGAAGTTGAGCCAAGTTCAACTTTTTCCAGGCAACCCTGCATTATCTTTGCCGTAGCCCTCTGCGCTGGCATTACCGCTGTGTCAAGGCAGCAGTCTCATTGAAGTACATAAGGGCATAAAGTTAGTTATATCAACTGAGCTGCTTTTGAAGTGAATTCATAAGGTGTTTCACGCTCAGACTTTCCAGTGATCATGGCATGTATTTTTTGTGAGTCGGACCTTGAAACGGGTCAGATTGTTGTGGCAAGTGATGTGCAATTCATGGTGCCTTCAGCGGTCTGAATCCATTCTTTTTGAATAAGCCCCTGAGAGTATAATGGTAAAAATCTACCCAAAGCTTTCGCTCACCGAGATGTCATTACAGATCTTCTGATATGAGAGATGACAGCGATCTGGACTGACGTGGAAAGAATACACCCCCTTGTCGCCTCCTCTCCTTCCTCCTTCACCTCCTGTTAGCGCTTGGAGAAGATCCTCAACATATCTTTCCCTTGTGGCTCCCACATCGTTGGCTTCCCTTGTCACCTCGTCTTCTGAAACTGGACACAAGGAATGCCTTTTTCTAATTGTTGCATCATTTTAAAAGTTGTACAGTTGAGAGAAGGGCAAAGAAGTGATGGCAGACTGCGGAGCAAAACATTAATTATGTAGCATGTGAAAGCGTATTCAAAAGGAAGCGTGCACAGAAAACGAGGGGAATGTCGTCAGCTGTTGCACAGCTGCTCACACGGGGCTGAGGGTCCCAATTAAACCATCAAACACAAAACACACTGACGACCCAGAAGCTCCCACATAGCTCTCACAACCCCATCTCTGCAGATGGACAGCAATAGAAAACTAGGGAGCAGTCATGTTCCAGGTGTCCTTCCAGAGAAAAAGTACGCATATGTAACCACACACACACGCACACACACACACACACTGAACACTGACTTGCACATACAAAGACAAGCCTTGTAGTTAGAGTTTAATCTACTTTCTACACCTGTAAGCTGCAGCACAGCAGAGAAGAAGGGGGGGGTGAAGAAACAAGTTCACTGCTGTCCCTCTGCTTTAAGGACGAACAGTTTCAATATTGTGAGATGGGGTCAGCCAGGTGCATACAGGGTTTGGACAGTTTGATGAATGGTAAACCTGGTGACAACCCAGTCTAGTCAATGGTCAAAAGATGTCATTCTTTGCAGATCACATGGGCTGAAAATGTTTTTTGTGTTTGCATATATGAAGTCTTTACCCTCTCCGATCCATGCCGAGCTGCCATCAGTGAGAGCTAGTGTGAAGCCAGCCCCCAGGTCTAAGGCCCAGTCCACTCGCAGGAAGTACGGGGTGCCTGGATCCGAAGCTACAGTAATCTGTCGGACTGTACCACTCATGACCTGCAAAAAAAAAATAAAGATAGGAATTAAGAAACTTATAACAGGGTGCCATTGTGATTCATTTTTCTAACAATGGGCTTATTGCATTGTGTTCAAGATAGTTTGTAGGCCTACTGTTAGTATTTTGTCCTTGGACCTTCTTCTCGTAGCAATCCATTTTAATGTTGTACGGTTGTGTTAATCTTCCAGTTGCATCAATGAGCCTCATTGTTTACTTCTTGGATTTGGTAATGTCTTCTAGAGTGTGTGTGTGTGTGTGTGTGTGTGTGTGTGTGTGTGTGTGTGTGTG